CACATTCAATGCATTTATTCTGGGAACATACAGGACCAGCCCATAGTTTTTGTTGGCATGTTTGATTTGATAATGACTCCAATGGATGTGCTGTATTTCAAAACATACGTCTTTGACTTGTTCTTCAGCGTACCTCAAATAAATTGGCGTCTATATACTCCCCGCTGACATCAGCAGGGCGACATGCTGCCATTAAATCGCCCTTGCTTGTACTCAGATTGAGGGTGGGTGAGTGTATGAGTGTGTGTGCGAGGGTGAGACGGCCCAGCATTAACAGATATAAATTTTGATTGACATATAATTTCCTTCCCCGGTCCACCTTGGACAGCCTTATGTTTGATGGGTTTATAAGATAAGGGACTCTGCATTTCCGTCTATATTGAGAGGCAGGAGAAGGGGGCATGAAAGAGAGGGATTGAGAGGGAGGGAGGGGGGGGAGAGAGAGAATGACAGCAAGTGAAGTGAGGTAGATGGAAGGGGGGAAAAGGGGGAGCCTGAGGAACTTTCAAAGTGTGGCAGAGGAAGCTCACGCAGCCGTGTTTCTGCTCGGCGGTGTCGTGTGAAGAGCGGTGGCTTTGAAGAGAGCACTGAGGGGGGGGGGGGGTATGTGTTGCTCTTATCTAGCCATATGACGGCTGTTAGTGAGGTCTCGAAGGGTGCTGGTGGTGCCCACTAATGAAGGCTGAATGTATGTGTGTGTGTGTGTGTGTGTGTGTGTGTGTGTGTGTGTGTGTGTGTGTGTGTGTGCTGATTGATGAAATGAACAGCTTCGAGCAAGAATCGAGGGTAAGATGTCACTCCCCAAACTAGAGTGACTTGCCCTGAAAAAAAAAATGATGAAAAGGAAGTTTCAGAACACTCTTTTCTGGTTTCCTCCTCTTTCTGGATTTGTAATAATAAATTAGCACAAATCATTTAATTTATTAATGCAACAATACCGTCTGACAGCTGAAAGCTACAAATAAAGGTTTCTAGGTTACATTTCGGTTAAGTTTAAGCTTCAGTTCTTCCCTCCTTATGCAAAACTCTATCCTCTGTGGTCGGGTCTTACCACAACACAAACTGCTGCAAAATCAGCACTGTGATACTTTTACAGTCAGAGATAAAGCTCTTTAATATAAAGCACGAAACATCGATTGTTTAATGCAAACTTGACTGAACTCTCTTAGTGTTGATAATAGTCCAGAATTTGCAGAAAAAAAAAAGAAGTGAAACAAAGCTGAACAGCTCTTTCAAAGAGTTCAACACTAAAGTGTGTAGTGTGTAGCAAGTGGTTGTGTTCTAGTGACTATTTCAATACAGAGGCAATGCTAAGCTAGCTTTATGCTTGCATCAGTGAGTCAGGAATAATAGAGTGAGGACGGAGGACAAGAGGGAGCGAGTGCTGCAGGAGTGTAAACATAAACAAAAGCACACACCAGCGACCAACAGACCGACATCAAGGCACAGAGTTTTGCAGTTGACTGTCTCCTAACAAGAGTTTTGACATCCTCACAGAGTGAAGGGATCAAGAAACAACATATAGATTTAACCAGTAAAGTTTTTCATGTCCAAACAGAGGAGTGTGAGAGGTTTTGAAAAACAGCTTGTCATATATTGTTAGACTTTACTGACCCAACAGTCACCTTAAAGCTGTTGAGCTGCAACGACTACACATAAACAAGAGTAATTCAGGTGTAACTGGGGCGTGCTACCACCTCAAATAAGTCCAACTTTGATGCCAAAAATGGCAAAATACAAGGAACCAATCGTCTATTTTCTCCACCAAAAAGTCTGACTGGCCACATACAAAATGTTTCCCAATAGAAATGAACACCCATTTATCCAATATGGGGTTTCCTTCAAAATAAAATACATTTTTCCAAACCCCAATAGACCAAAAGCAAGGTGAAGAGTCCAACAATATAGTCCCCATGCAGTACGTGCTTGTACTCCATACATGTGAGGACCTCTAAGTTTTCCAAACAAGATGCCTAACCAAATAAAAATGTTGTCCCCTCTGACATACTTTATTATCTATTTGTTATCAATATGTGTGTTCCTAAATCTACTCTGGTTTATCCCATAGACTAAGTCAAAAAAATTCACATTACCTATGGTTCCAGGTGGACATGGCATCTTGGTTACAGTCCCCGGCTTGGTCTTGGGCCAGGAGATGTCCATCATCACCAATGGGTTGCAGTACTCCACCCTGATGTTGGGAAGCTTGGAGGAAGGCGGTCCACCCTCATCATCATCTTCTGGAGCCAAACCCTCCACCACCGTCTGGACAGGGTTCGCCACTGTGGTGGTCGTCCGTGGGGCCATTGCAGTTGTAGAAGCTGGCATCCTGGTAGTGGTAGTCCTGCCTGTTGTGGTTGTCAGGGTAACAGTGGTGGGCCGAGTAGTGGTCCTTGTTGTCATTGTAGTTGTGTCCATGTAGACCATTATGGAGGAGGATGTTTCTGGTAAAAGAGAAAGACGGAACAACAATGAAACTATGGTTTGGCAAAATTCAAGGTCTGGAAGGAATATAGAAATTTAAGGTATTATTAAAAAAACAAACATGTTTTTCCACATTTTAACCATGTCTCGTTATAGGGGATGGTATGAAAATACATACAATTGGTTATTTTTTTTTTCCTCCTTTCGAAGTGACAATTTAAAAGAGGACAGCTCGCTGTGGATCAATTGGAAATAGCAGGTGTTCTTGCAGGGGCATGCACGGTGTCTAGTATTGGACCCCTACTAGCTATGCTATTACACTCACACCACATACACACTCTTACATCTGTGCAGTCTAAATAGAGCTGTTGATGAGGGCATATCTCTGCCAGTCAATAACAGGGTTGTTGTAGCTACATGCTATTTCTGGGTCAGCCGGGACAAACTAGGATACCCATTTCCTGGATGTGACTCTTCCCTGTGGTTACCCTCCAGGAGGTTCTTGCTAATGACGCTGTTTACCTGAGCTGTTGGGGACGAGGCCTATCATCATCACACCAACACTCACACATCAAATTAAGATGCACCAGACTCTAGCACTGTACTCCTTTTCTTCACACTACAAATGATAAAAACCTCATGTACTCTCCACAATGAATCATACAATCAACCTTCCCCTGTGCCGCGGATTGGCAAAGAGTATTGGCAAAGAGTGGCCCGCAATTAATTTATCGGCAAGCTTTTACGAATGTGGTGACTTGGTGACTTGTCACAGAGGTTCAGATGACACAAGAGGACTTCCTGATTTATCTTCATTAAACTGGAAAAACAGGCATTTATTTTAAAACTATGTTTTATGGCATATTTGCAATGCTCTTATTGGACAGTTAGATTGCTTTTTGCATAAAGATTGCTTCAAATGCTATACTGATATCTTAATATGTCATGAAGTCTTTAAAAGAGAACCTTTGTCATAAACACACACACACACAATCTGGAGCCTTTGCGAAAAAGCAATTTGGGTAAGGCGTTGTTTCCGCCTAATGTGGAGATACAATCAAAATGACAGAAGTGACAAATGGTCCCAATCTCTGAATGAAAGGGGGAGCAAAACAAAATTTAATGAGGGTCAATTTAAGGATGGCAGGTGTAATGGACGTCACACTTTCAGGGAGAGCTTAGATAACAGACATCACTGCCGAAATCCAGTTCACTGAGTTTCAATTTGCAATCGGACGCGTTCTCTGAATGGTGAATTTGAAAGCGGTAATATCAGACGGCATAAATTAGTGCCAGCGTTTGGGAATCGCATAGATGCCTTGGAACTGTAATGACACGGACCAGACTACTATCAGCAGCAAATGCATTCAACGCTTAACAGCATTCAACAACAGCCAGGGTTGATTAAATAGGTTGCTGCCACAGCAAGAGTTCCAAGTTGATTGAGTACTTGTTTTCTCTTGCTAACAAAAGGATTTGTTGTTTTTTTAAGACCCGCAGGTACTGTGGACACTCCTGTGGAGGCACTCTATCAATGAGGTGGAACTATTACACAAATCTAATTGAATGGCAATGTGAACTAAAGGCAAACAGCTAGTAAAGCAGGCTGTAGAATTCCAGATTTCTCTCGCGGATGACAAACAACAAATAAGCAAAGTACAGACGAGTAAATGTTAAGAGAACATCAATAGAGCTTATGACCCAACACTGGGGCTCATTAATGCAAACACTGGCAGCCACTCACTCAAACACAAACCCTCATCAACCAACAAAATCTGACACTAACACCCATCAACAGGCCTTTAAAAACCACATGAATACTCAAATAGGTATTTAACATTTCCGCAAGCCACCAAGATATCACCATTTACATTCTGTAACCACCGTCAGGCATCATCATTAATCTGCACTGCAGCATCACGCGGAATCCTTCATCTGCATCGTGTCCTTCAGCAGCAATGACCACGTTATTACGAGGGAGAAATACCTTCAAGGACACTACTCTATTTATGGTATTATTCATGATATGGCTTATACATGTATCTGTATCTGAGCAGAAGTGATGATAAACCCAAAGAGGTCCCACCAACGATAAAGGAAAAAGGAAGTAAAAGGAAGAGTCGTCGATTCAAGTATAATTGAAATCAGCTGCTGGTGCTTAAACTGCTTATAGTAAAGGAGACCATTAGTGCACCCCATGGGAATCTGATGATGGAAATTCACAGCACATATTAAGGTTAGAAGGGGTCACAGTGCACAAGCCAAGATAAGATAGTAGCTTAAAAGATGTTCAGATGGGCGCATTAGGATAAGGGAATTTTTGTCCTGGTCAGGGTGGCTGATAGAGGAGTGATTCTGGCTGTGGCAGATTTTTGCTGAGTAATTTTGTTGCTTAAGGAACCAAAAAAAAATGCAGACTGATATGAGGAGGTAAGCTGCACAGGGGCACGTGACACATCAAGCATAGTCATAGAGGTAGACATTGCATATAGAGCCATCATTTCATATATAGCTTTAGAGCAGATTAGTCACAGTTGCAGTGTCATCCATTGGCTTACTTCACTTTGAGATTTTGTAGACAGATTCAAATGGCACTATTTACTACACAATTTAAATTGATTCTTAAGTCATGGAGCAGATGCTCTTTTCAATATAATAGCCACTCTAAACCTTCACTTTTTCAAAGAACATTGTAGGAAACTCACTGTTATTCTTCTTCTAGGTTTTTCTCTGCTATTTGTATCTCAGCTTCATCTCCCATTACTCAGGATGGCACTGTTGCATTCTCAAACACCAGCTTTCCAATGTTTTGTATTGGATAGCAGCTGTGTTGCTATCACCATGTATCTGCGCTTTAATCCCACTGGCCTAGAACCAATGTTTATACATTTTTGTATGACAAAGATCTTAGGCTGTTTAGCTTTTAAACTAATACTTGAAAAAGTTTTTAAATGGTTCTTTCTGCTTTTCAAAACCAAGTTAAAGGTAAACACAACACGTCCAGCAAAGACGCAATATTTGCTGCTACTGGATACTTTTCATATCTCGAGGGTCAGCAAAAGTTTAGTGGCCACATTTTTTTCGCCGTTTAAAAAAAAAAAAAAATCTGAACAGCCAAAATGGTTTTAACCTTCCTCCTTAAGTCCTGAAATGTCAATCATGTCAAAAAAAAACGTGACAACAATACCACAATTGATTCAGGAAATGTATAGCGAATTTTACATTGAGACTTTTAATCTGGTGTCATCTGTAACAAGCTGCATCTAACACTGCTGATAGTGCTAATGCTAATGCTAGTACTCGGTTTATCAGTAGCAAAAGGAGAGAAAACATTTGTTCACCGTAAGATATCTAACAATATCCAAATTCTGAGGTATGCTAATAGAAGCTAACATTAGCCACCATGTGGTACTTGTAACAGCAGGTAGCACATCTCTCCAATGCCACATTGTCTAACTTTTAAGGGTTGTGATAATACCAAGTCAAATGTCACTATCTCATTGAGAAAGATAATGAGATGAACTAAGCTTACCACGCCATTGATAAACAATAATACAAAGTTATCTTATGCCTGGTTAATGTTTGAGGTAATATAACACTATGGAGAAATACGGCCTGAGGAAATCGCCATAACAGCAGGAGGTTAATTCAAAGTCACATGGAACCATGACTAGAATGTAATTCAATGCTTCCAGTTGATCCTGTTGAGCCCGGTGTTGAATTATTTTACAACTCACTGCATGTTAAATACAGCTGCAAAGACACGCGCTAGAGATAGAGATCAGGAGTTGAATGAAAGAAAAAAAAAACTGTCCTTGAGAAAACTTGTATATCTTTTCCATGAGGCGAGCACAAAAACAAAAAAAAAGAAAAGGGAAAGCCAGCAGCACACAGCAGCCACAGTCTGCCGGCACTTTCGCCTTGGAGACAGCACAAGGACATTTTGTTTTGCTTTGCCAGCTTTCCCTTTCTATCCAAAAGGATAAAGAGAGGGAAAAAAAACCTGGGCTCAAGAACACCCAACGATTTGAACAAGACTTTGGTACGCTCAGAGGGACCCGTGTGTGACCTTACAGGAAGATTTGAATGTTAAATTGGTGAAAGTTTTATAAAATATCCCCACAGCTGTTACAACCTCCATAGTGAAACCTCTCCTGAAAAAAAACTATCTAGACTCCTGTGCGCTAAAAAAACTACAGGCCAATTTATAATCTACCCTTTCAAATTAAAATGTAAAGAAACTTGTTTATAATCAACTACTTGTTCATTTAACTCTTACAATATTTTAGACATACTCTGCCCTGCTCAAAGTAGTAAATTACATCAAAATGATTGTAGATAAAAACAATTAGGCAGTCCTCCCTTTTTTTTTTTAAGACCTCAGCGCAGCATTAGACACATTTGACCATCAAATCAACAGACTGGAGTGATGGGTGGGTCTTTGACCATGTGTTAGACTGGTCTTGTCTTTTAACAGACAGTTTTACATCAGTTCGTACAGACTCATCATTTCTTTTAGAATTGGCCTTGTTCCTCCATACATCCACTGATGCATTTGCTTCATTTTTCTACACTGCAGGTTGCCGCTTGGTTTCGACATGATTCAATGCAATGACATTTATATGGGAATACTTCAATATAATTGGACTCAAACCCCAAAGTAGCCTATCTCTGGTATATTCGAGGATCAATACATTTTCAAAAGCAGTAAAAAGTTGAACAAAACCGAATGAAGCTATTCAATGTTCAGGATTTTTAAGACAAGGGGCTTAAATTGTTCCTACTTTTAAGCTGGCGACCTTTTCATTCATAAACGACAGGAGCAAACTTCTTTGGGTGCTCCAGTTTCCTCTCATCATTTACACTCCGCTTCCATTATACCAACTTCCCCCACCCAAACCAAACATATGAAGTCTGTTTCCACCACACACAGGGCTTTGTGCTGCATTTCAAAGCATTAATTTCTAACTAATTAGCCTCTCTCTCTCTCTATCCCAGGGCTCGTGGCACCCACAATTAG